TGTAGATAAGGACAAATGTGGCCGAGTAGCCTTAATGCCAGTCCACATAAGACTCGTTACCTGCCATCGGACCGCCGATCAGGTAACCGACTGATTGGGCCGCCAAGACAGATCCGTACGTGCGTGTAAGGCTACCGGCGCCCATCGTCTCCTCGATGACATTCGAGATGAGCGCAACAAAAGGTGAGATGAGGACTCCCGTGGTCAGGGCGTAGATTGAAAGTCCGACAAAATTTTGCATAAATGGCAGTAGACAACTCAAGCCGACGAGGCATAGACCGGCGGTCACGCTGATTGCGAGACCGCTGAACACCGGCACAAACTGGGCCAATAGGCCACATGTGATTCGGCCCATGCACATTGTGATGCCCATGTAGCTAAGGAGTTGCGAGGCCTGTGAATCGGACAGGCCTAAACTGACGCCGTAGCTGGGCAGAAAGCAGATGCACACAGAGACGGAGAAATAGGTGAGAATGTTGGAGAGATTGAGCAGCCATAGTGCCGGCTCTCCGTACAGCGTCTGGTGCAGCAGATGAGCACAACAGAGAGCCGAGACCTGGAAATGTCGGCGCTGCTCGCGCAACGCCTTAGTAGCCAATTGGGCCGCCTGACCCTGGTCCCGGGTGGCCAGTACCACCGTGGACGGTCGGCTTGTCAGGCTGGATCGTATACTTGGTGCTCCGACGAGAGAAGCGCGATACCGACTGATGTAGCTGCGCGGTCCCAGCGATGAAGTACGTGACACTCGTGACGGTGCTCTTCTTACCGGCACCAGACTCAGCCCGACTGGTTGACTCGCCTCGAGACTCGACGCATCTGTGGCCGTTTTCATGCCAGCCGCGGCAGCTCCACTCGGACCCGATGGAGACTCGGGCTTGGCGACCGGCGGTTCGGCAGGCTTCGAAGCCTGGCCAGTTGCAATGGCGTCGGGATGCTCTTCACCGTCCTCTTCGTCCTCTTCAGGGATCGCGGCAAAGTCGAATGTGAACGCCGAAACCGAGCCACCCGTGCGCAGTACTGCCCCTCCGTCCGAAGTCTTCTGTACCACCCGACCGTTATCCTCTTCTCCCGCGCCATCTGCCACTGAGGCAGCTGGCATCGTCGTTGCCGTCGTCAACATGGAGCCACCGACCTCCGCTTCCAGGCGCTCGGATGTTGAGCTGGTGCGCTCTCGGACGGCAGCGGCAGCGAGCGCTGCTATCACCTCGTCAGACGGCTCGATGGGAATGTCAAAGTCGTCCTCGTCCACCTCGTCTTCGTCCTCTTCGAACAGTTCTTCCAGATCGGCGGCGTCCAGCAGCACGGTGACTGGATCATTGGCCACGAGACGACCACGCGCCTCCAGCTGGCTGGCATGACGTCGAGTCTCAACCTTGGCCGCTTTGAGAGACGCCTTGAGAAGACGCTCCGCCATTCGAGCATCTTGTTGCGTCACGGTGGCAAGGGCGGCGATGTCACCAGACAGTCGGACGGGTCCGCTTGAAGGCAACCAAGGGGCGGCGGCCATATTTGCTGTAATCGAGGGTCGAGGCCGTCCGTCCGTCAGACCATAGGCCTGGCGGCTTTCGTTGAGGAAGTTCTCGTCACCGAAATTAATGACATCAACCTGAAAGTAGCCAACAAGCAAAATAATGTATGAGGAGAGAGGAAGATTTGTCGAGCAATTAGTGGGCAAGCATTTTGGGGCTATGAAGTTCTGAAAGTTAACTTTCCCCACATGATTCCAATGAAGTTTACTTAACCCTGACTGAAAAAAGGATTTCTAGATATGAAAATATCTGGGTTTAGATGAATCTCTTGAGAAAGTATTATTTGGGAGACTTTTATTCCGTATTAACATGAAGAAGAGATTCAAAGGTCGATCTCACCAGAAGACAACGTCTAATTTCCGTTGTACTGCAGCCATTTGGCTTTACTACAATGTTCGACCTTAACGTAGTCCACGAGATATTTTCCCTCGTTTCGGTTGAAAACGACCTGTCACTCGTCCACAAATAATGGATATTATCAGAAGTAGAATATTTTAGCAAATATACATTGTTTCATCGACAATCCGACCACAGAATGTGATGTAGAAAAATGCCTGGCTTTCCTTGAAATTCACATCTTCCCAGTGACCCAAGGGCATTCGTAGCAATGTGGTTTAGCTGTTAGCGAGTCGAGACTATGTACTGCACTGTCATGTTTCGAGTCCCACTTGGTGTGTTAGTAAGACCAAGGTAATGTCGAAACCGTAGTCCATTCTGGATAAGAGCACCTTTTGGAAAGGCAAGTCTATGCGACATTCAATGGGAGCATCAGCTCTACTCACATCATTGTGGGAAAATGCAAGTACCAGTTCTTCATCATCTTAGACGAAATTGGGTGAATACATCTCATAGGCACACACACACTCGTGCAAACGTAGCATGACCAATATGAAAGATAATTAGCCAAGCCACTCTCTATATATCTATGCCTATTCATTTTCGTTTGTGAGTTAGGATTATATAGAAGAGGTAAAATAGAGCCAGATGGTCTTCTTGGCCTATTGATAACATGAGACTTTTACAAGAATAAGTTACAGCTCTGAGGCTGTCCATCATATGATGGACGTAAGCCCGAAATGGGGGAGGATGCCTTGTGGACTGTGTCAACCTGAATGTCATATTAAAGCTAAACGGCCGAATAACAACGGGACTCATCCGTCGGCTTCTGGTAAGATCAGCCTCGTAATCTCTCCTTCATACACTTTCATAAGAAATGAAAGTCTCCCCTAGCAAAAATGAGTTCAAACTACGTTGAACTTGACTGCAGTTTCGACCTCTCCAGGTTCATATTATTGCTTTCAACCAAAATCAAACCTGAGTAAAGCGGCATATAATTTCGATATAATCACACCTACACCACATCGCCACGAGTGCCCATGAGTCAATGGACAGACGAATTTTGCCAAGACTATGTGTTTGTCTTATCACATTTTATAGTGGAATTTTCATACATTTATAATATTCTGCAAATCTTGAATAAGGGTTCTAGGCCCCCTAGGTCGCCTAAAATGAGGAAGGACTGATAGATGAATTTTCCCACAGTGAGATAAGAAGGCCTCTTTCGTCAAATTATGCGACCTCAGGTTATTTGTACTTCCATTCAAGGTCTACTAATTAACTTATATCTCACTTCCATCTCGAATGAGTGTGTGCGATGAAGATACACGAAGATCTGTCCCACTATCAGACAACGGCGGATTCCTCTTGATTAACTGTCAATGTACTTTACTTGAACATGTTTACTGACCCTAACCTAAGGCCAACTGACAGCTGGCCAAAAGGATTCAGCCGTTGTCTTCCCTTACGATCGAGCTTCCAATCCCTTAACTACAAATTTTCACCTTAAATGAAGATTAGCTGAATAATTATCATCCAAAAGGGTCTTCGAAACCCAACTTTTATCGCATACACTCAGGGGGAGGGATTTGTATCATGATGTTAAGCTCAATTTATGCTTGTTACTTGCGTTATTCTTAATTTAGCCAAGAGAGTCTTCAGCAATGAATACATTTATTA